ATGGCTATTAAATTTGTCAATGATTTGAAGGTGGGTTTTAATATTTATTGAAATTCACTACCTATTCGATGGTAACGATTCATCAAATTAATTTTTTTAGTCTATTTAACATTTTCTATATAATTTGGCGAAGATCTACTGGGAATGTGATGAAATAATAGGAAAAAAGTCCACACTGAACAAATTAATCAGGAATATATGGCATGTCCAATTCCAATGGAATGTTACCAAATTAGGCACATTCAAATATTCCAATACTAATAATTAGGGTGTTAGAGGCTGCATTTGGACTACTTTTTTGTACTCATTTGAATTTTCAAGTTTCAATTCAACTCAAAATGTTCTTTGACTTGTCATTGAATTTGTAGTTAAGATCCTCCAGATGTGAATAAGATACATGTAAATTGAGGTTAGTGGTTAACTTAATCATCGCTGTTTTGACTATCTGATTTTAAGGTTATGAGTTTGAATTTTATTGTNCACGTCACCTGAGAGCAAGAGGGGTTGTAAGTTATATGGCATTGTATATTTGTTACTAAGGTAATTTGTACCTTCATATACAGTATAATGTTAATGGTTTTGAGAGGATGTTGGTAGCTGTTGGATGAATCTATTTAAAATTGTTATATGTATTTATTGAAACTTGTCATATTTTATATTATAAATACTATGCTTCAAAGTTGCATCCATTTCGACTAGTTTTTCCTCAAACTAGGGTCTTAGGCAAACTTTTAATTTGAATCAAATCAACAACAGATTATTTCATTTTCAAGCGATTGACCAAACCTGGGTTTTCCCAAAAGGTCATTGACTTAAATTGAGATTGCATAAAACTTCCTGCTTCAGGCCTCAAGGTAAGCTGATCCAGGTTGGTGCTTTGTTCGACAAGATCCACAAGTGTGGTTTAATGTCATCCAATAGGTTGTACTTGAAACATTAGTTAATGGCTTTACGTATAATGTGGCAAGGTTTAGATGTATCATCTGAGGAAGATAGGTTTTTCAGTTTACCTCTATGGAGTTTTTGAAACTAGAAGCAATCAGGGTTGCTTCAATGGCAAGGAAACCTTACAAAATGTCTAAAATCAATGCAAATACATTAACTACGCACATGCCATGCATTGTGAAAGCAGAAAGAAAAAGGGTTTTCATGATGTGCCAATAATTTTTTTTCCTTTCTTTTCTTTCTTTTTTTTGGTGACGAAAAATAATTCAACTAATTTTTGGACGTACACAATCACATGTAAACCACGTGTATCAAGTAAAATATAATCATCAAGAGGAAAGAGAACATAAATTCAATAATTTTGACGTAAAATCTTCCATTTTTGAAAAGAAGTCATGTTTGCAAAAACAACACATTTGGAATAAAAGATTCACTCAAGTTGATTGCCTTTACAAAATAGGGTAAAATTAAATGGAGAAGAAGACAGTAAATCACTTATGAATTAATAGCTAATTTGTTTTGAGTAATCTGCTGATCATCCTTTAAAAATGAACGGAGTATTCTCCAATTATTTTAGAATTAAAAAAGAGTCAAAACCGAATAATCTTTGGTTCGGAGACCTTTATTGTAGTAAGGGGAAACACAAAGGGAAAGAAAAAAGAAGAAACTCTTTTTGGCACCACTTGGAATGCCAATTAGGCTACTCTTCTATGGAGGAAGCTTATGCGAAGTTTGGGAGTTAAAACATTATGAAATTTTTTCTACACTTGCAAAACATCTTTTGTGTCACAACAAAACATTCACAGTATTTTATGTTAAGCCTATCATTATATTTGATATTCTCTCTTAATTCTCCTATCATTGTATTTAAGTGGATCCACTCGTAAATGGTACTTGTAAAGTCCACAAAAGAGTGAAGTATAGTCAAATCCGTCATACAATCAAAAAATAAAAATTCTTACATTCATTCACCTTCTATTTGGACTTTAATCTTGGCATCTAATCAATAACAGCAGTTGAATTTAAAATGAGTTACATCTAACATTAGAATTCACTATTAATCTAATTATTGTATTAAATTAAATCCCTAAATTAAGTCTTTAGTTTTTCTCTTTTCTTTTTTTTTTTTGTTTATCAGAACTTTTGAAAACAATCCCAAGACCAGCGGAGAAAGAAGCCGGGAAAAATCAGTGGTTTATATATAATTTGAGCAATGTTACGTAGATTTAAAAAATTAACTTGATGACATGGCTATTAAATTTGTCAATGATTTGAAGGTGGGTTTTAATATTTATGAAAATTCACTACCTATTCGATGGTAACGATTCATCAAATTAATTTTTTTAGTCTATTTAACATTTTCTATATAATTTGGCGAAGATCTACTGGGAATGTGATGAAATAATAGGAAAAAAGTCCACACTGAACAAATTAATCAGGAATATATGGCATGTCCAATTCCAATGGAATGTTACCAAATTAGGCACATTCAAATATTCCAATACTAATAATTAGGGTGTTAGAGGCTGCATTTGGACTACTTTTTTGTACTCATTTGAATTTTCAAGTTTCAATTCAACTCAAAATGTTCTTTGACTTGTCATTGAATTTGTAGTTAAGATCCTCCAGATGTGAATAAGATACATGTAAATTGAGGTTAGTGGTTAACTTAATCATCGCTGTTTTGACTATCTGATTTTAAGGTTATGAGTTTGAATTTTATTGTCCCCTCCCATGACAAAAAGAAAAAGAAGTATGTAAATTGATTGTGCATGTTTTTTTTTTTTTGGAATAACAATTGCGCATGTGAAAAGATTATTTTTTCATAACTAGAACGCATAGTACATGAGTTATTATTAGGCTGTCAACAAATCAGATTTTGATTGATTTGAATTCGAATTCGATTCCAAAAATTTGATTTGAACCCGATTTAACAATTTGACGGTTTTATTTTTGTGGTTCATATCTGAATTAATTAATAATCCAAAAAAATTAGTCTAATCTTAATAATTTAATTAAATAATTTTTTAAAAAATAATCACTCAATTTATTTAATATTTATATAACNAGAAGAAACTCTTTTTGGCACCACTTGGAATGCCAATTAGGCTACTCTTCTATGGAGGAAGCTTATGAGAAGTTTGGGAGTTAAAACATTATGAAATTTTTTCTACACTTGCAAAACATCTTTTGTGTCACAACAAAACATTCACAGTATTTTATGATAAGCCTATCATTATATTTGATATTCTCTCTTAATTCTCCTATCATTGTATTTAAGTGGATCCACTCGTAAATGGTACTTGTAAAGTCCACAAAAGAGTGAAGTATAGTCAAATCCGTCATACAATCAAAAAATAAAAATTCTTACATTCATTCACCTTCTATTTGGACTTTAATCTTGGCATCTAATCAATAACAGCAGTTGAATTTAAAATGAGTTACATCTAACATTAGAATTCACTATTAATCTAATTATTGTATTAAATTAAATCCCTAAATTAAGTCTTTAGTTTTTCTCTTTTCTTTTTTTTTTGTTTATCAGAACTTTTGAAAACAATCCCAAGACCAGCGGAGAAAGAAGCCGGGAAAAATCAGTGGTTTATATATAATTTGAGCAATGTTACGTAGATTTAAAAAATTAACTTGATGACATGGCTATTAAATTTGTCAATGATTTGAAGGTGGGTTTTAATATTTATGAAACTCGCTACTTATTCAATGGTAACAATTCATCAAATTAATTTTCTTAGTCTATTTAACATTTTCTATATAGTTTGGTGAAGATCTACTGGGAATGTGATGAAATAATAGGAAAAAAGTCCACACTGAACAAATTAATCAGGAATATATGGCATGTCCAATTCCAATGGAATGTTACCAAATTAGGCACATTCAAATATTCCAATACTAATAATTAGTGTGTTAGAGGCTGCATTTGGACTACTTTTTTGTATTCATTTGAATTTTCAAGTTTCAATTCAACTCAAAATGTTCTTTGACTTGTCATTGAATTTGTTGTTAAGATCCTCCGGATGTGAATAAGATACATGTAAATTGAGGTTAGCCGTTAACTTAATCATCACTGTTTTGACTATCTGATTTTAAGGTTATGAGTTTGAATTTTATCGCCCCCTCCCATGACAAAAAGAAAAAGAAGTATGTAAATTGATTGTGCATGTTTTTTTTTTTTGGAATAACAATTGCGCATGTGAAAAGATTATTTTTTCGTAACTAGAACGCATAGTACATGAGTTATTATTAGACTGTCAACAAATCAGATTTTGATTGATTTGAATTCGAATTCGATTTCAAAAATTTGATTTGAACCCGATTTAACAATTTGACGGTTTTATTTTTATGGTTCATATCTGAATTCGTTAATAATCTAAAAAAATTAGTCTAATCTTAATAATTTAATTAAATAATTTTTTTAAAAAAAATCACTCAATTTATTTAATATTTATATAAAAATATATAAATAAATCGGATTAAATCAAATTCAGATTCGGATTAAAATTTGATCCTAATCACAATAAAACAATCTTATACAATTATTATTCAATTTTCACCGTTGCCGGGTTCTTCCAACCAGTAATTAGAAATCTTTGTAAGCATAAATCTCCTCCATAAATTAGTACTTCCTTGTACCTACAACAAGATAGAGTGTCGAGCACCTCTGGGACAGTGGGACCAGGGGGATTTAAATCTCTCCTCCTCCTCCTCCTGCTCTCTCTCTCATCTTGGTATTTGTATTTGCGGAGAATACAAACTCCTCGTCGGTCGTCCTCAATTCGCGACCACCCCTCAATTTCACAACACACACGTATTCTGATGAAATTCTTACAGATCCATGGACGACGCTCATGATCTCTTTCTATTGCTACATTCACAAAAGCTCTTCTTCTCTCTCTGCTTCCTCCTCCATTCCTATCTTTCTCTTAACCCTAACAGATCCAATGCTGCTGTAGCTTAAACTCTCTATTTTCCATAGTTTTGAGCTATCTAAATTTTTCAGTTTTTAGGCCTTATAGTACGAAATTCAGTCGAATTCAATGCCGGCAACGAATGACTCGGGCCGATTGTTCACGATCGTGCTCGTCACATCATGGTACTCCTCAAACATTGGGGTTTTATTGCTGAACAAGTACTTACTCAGCAACTACGGATTCAAATACCCGATATTCCTCACCATGTGCCACATGACCGCGTGTTCTTTGTTAAGCTATATCGCCATTGCGTGGATGAAGATGGTTCCTATGCAGACTATCCGATCCCGAGTCCAATTCATGAAGATCTCTGCACTAAGTTTCGTGTTCTGTGCCTCGGTGGTAAGTGGGAATATATCGTTAAGGTATTTGCCAGTTTCCTTCAATCAAGCGATCGGGGCCACAACGCCATTTTTCACGGCGGTTTTTGCGTATTTGATTACGTTGAGGAGGGAGGCTTGGCTCACTTATATCACTCTCATTCCTGTTGTTACTGGGGTTATCATTGCCAGCGGGGTATGAGCTTGTTTTAATTGCACATATTGATGTATTTCGTTGGAAAATGTGAGGCTTTATTGTCGAATTGGGTGTGTTCTGGTCGCTATTAGCTCTTGCGNGGTATGAGCTTGTTTTAATTGCACATATTGATGTATTTCGTTGGGAAATGTGAGGCTTTATTGTCGAATTGGGTGTGTTCTGGTCGCTATTAGCTGTTGCAATTGAATTATCAGATTACGAGTTGAATGAATTTTTATGTGTTTTGCTTCTTACTTGAATTTCTAGGCAAAAAGAATACCTGCCCTTCTGATTGTTTAGAAAAATCAAGACAAAATGTAGAGTTGGAATCAATTACGTTTTGGTTTTGTTAACATTTATTTTTTTCCTCACCTAATCCAAAAACTTGATTGATTAGAGATTTTGATTCATTTGGGTTTAGGTAATGAAAATTTATTTTCTTTTTGTTCGCTATCAGCTGAACTGAACATCATATGATTCTAAATCCGGATCCAGCTTTTGCGTCTTATAATTAAAGTTTATGCTGAGCGTTCTTGATTTCACTTCTGAGCTTGTGATCACTTTCATGAAATATTTAGGGATTAAATAAGCATCAGTTATCTTTTCATTTAGTTGGTGAGCTTTAGTAGTTGCTGAAACATATAAGGAATTTGGCCAGGCTCCTGTATTGCTGCTACTTTATATGTTGTAAGCTTTAAAAGTAGCAGGTCTTCCTATTCAGTCATGGTCGCAATGATGTACTTTGGAAAAACCCGTTTCTAATCTGATTTTTGTTGCCTTTTTACCCTTTCATGGTCTTAGGGTGAACCAAGTTTCCATCTATTTGGATTTATAATGTGTATTGGTGCTACAGCTGCAAGAGCACTCAAATCAGTGCTTCAGGGGATTTTGCTTTCTTCTGAAGGGTAATGAATTGCTTATTGTTTCCTATATACTCATGATTATGTGTTTTGGTGAAGTTACCGGAATTAGATATGTTGAAATTAATTCTGAAACTTATGTTTTTTTTTTGTTTAAGGGAAAAGCTAAATTCTATGAATCTTCTCTTGTACATGGCTCCTATAGCTGTTCTGCTTCTACTTCCTGCAACACTATTTATGGAAGAAAATGTAATTGGTATCACAATAGCACTATCCAGGGATGATATCAAGATCGTCTGGTATCTGCTATTCAATTCTGCACTTGCATATTTTGTAAATTTGACCAATTTCTTGGTCACAAAACACACCAGTGCTCTTACTCTCCAGGTATGCCTTCCTTTCAGGTCCAAGCTTCTTTCCCCTTGATGATCAATCATCTTTATGTTTACCATTTAGTATACAATCATGAATGAGAATCAGCGAAGAACTTAATTAGTATTTTATTTAAAGGAAGCGGGATTATGTCCTAATGATGTTAATGTGTGCAGTGTAATTATAATAACATAAATTTTTTGCTTAAAGAGGAAAAGGAAATTCCTATATCTAGGCACCGGGTGATAAATTTCCAATTCTGATTGTGTTCGTGTTGCAGTTAGTTTGTCCTTGTACGTTGGGCCTGAGATTATGGGATAATGGCGCAATGCTCCCTAATTACAAAAAAGGAACATTTACTCTGCGTAGAGTATCTCTAATAGGCTCTTTATTTCCATTCAATTCTCTATTTTAAAGAGTCAACCCCTAAAATTTCATCTCCAATGGACTCTTTACTCGGGCTCTCTAAAATAAGGAGTCCAATTTGGCACTCTACATTGGAAGAGTCAAACTCACTATTTACTTTATTTTTTTGGAACAAAAAAACGGTATATTTGTATTTTTCATCAAATGACATTTAGGGTAAAAGTCCTGATCAAAACCAAAACCAAAACCTTCACTTTGTCTAAAACTTCAAGATTTGTGCGAAATAATTTCCGTCAAACTACATAAGCACTACAACAAGGTATGACAATTAAATTAATTCTTTTAAGTGGTCTCATTCCGGTTGGTTNTCATTGCCAGCGGGGTATGAGCTTGTTTTAATTGCACATATTGATGTATTTCGTTGGGAAATGTGAGGCTTTATTGTCGAATTGGGTGTGTTCTGGTCGCTATTAGCTGTTGCANCTCTGGTATATGTATATTTGATCAATATATGTTATGTACATATCTAAAATATTTTGATCCCTTACATTTAGTTTCATGTATAACTAGGAAGATTAAATTAATAAATTTGATCAATAGATTAGACAAATTTGGTTGAAGTGCCATACGAGATGAACGATAATTGGCAGGATCAATAAAATATTCTAAAGTTTGATAAAATAATGGAGAAAAAATGGGAGGGAAGCAAAATAAAAACGACAAANATTTTTTTCCTCACCTAATCCAAAAACTTGATTGATTAGAGATTTTGATTCATTTGGGTTTAGGTAATGAAAATTTATTTTCTTTTTGTTCGCTATCAGCTGAACTGAACATCATATGATTCTAAATCCGGATCCAGCTTTTGCGTCTTATAATTAAAGTTTATGCTGAGCATTCTTGATTTCACTTCTGAGCTTGTGATCACTTTCATGAAATATTTAGTGNAAAAAAAAAAAAATTAGAGAGCACTATTGGAGATGCTCCTTGATGTGAACCCTTAAACGAATTCAAGAACTCACAAATTGATTGAAGACTTCCCAAGAAAGTTCACAAATCAAATTATAAGAACCAAAAACCCTAGACCCAATGTTTTCAAGAAACAAGTAAATAATGCCACGGGCATAAGTTTTACAAACAAGTATAGACATAAATGTTGCATATGTTAGGTATATATCTGTGCACAGACACTTGTATGTTTTGCGAGGTTAGACTTGGAGCTATGGTAAGTGTTCATCCCTCCAAACATTACGTCATTGGTTTGAGTCTGGGAAACAGTCACTCCAAAATGGAGACGAGGCTACTTTCTACTTATTTTTTCCAAATCAGCATTAGGCGGGATTGTAGGAGCCTTGTCCGTTGATGGTGTTTGGATAGTGGGTTAAAGGTGGTTATCCACTAGTTGGATGGGATAAAATAGGTGTGGGGCCCAGATAACCTTTGTTTGGGAAGCCTTTTTTGAGATTGGATGCAAATTCCGGGTCAAGGCTTGACCCGATTTCTACAATACCAGTTAACCCCCTTACATCGGCTACACCTAACCCACCCCTCCCATGGGTTACAAACCCAGGCAAGAGGATAACCCCATCGAAGACATATTTGCCCCTCCTCTTGCCCTCTCTCTTCTCTTGTCAATTAGAGCGCGAAGCAGTTGAGCTCGTTCCATTGGATGCTGAGCTCGTCCAAGGCTCAGATCTGGGTATGTTTGGGTATGGCTCTTAGTCAAACGAAATTCTTGTTTGGGATTCCATATACGATCTGAAATTGAAGGAATCATTGAATTGTGGTGGTGGGAGGTAGTGGTGGTGGTGGTGGTGACGTTGGCGTTTTTGTTGTAGGGGAAAAAGATGGGAGTGGAGGTGGAGGTGGAGGCGATGGTGGTGAGAGAGATGAGGCGGTGAGTTCTGGTGGCGGTGGTGGTGGTGGTGGATTTAATGGTGGTGGTGGGTTTATGTATATGGGAGGTGCAGACCATCAATGGCAGATGGATGGTTCTAGGGAGAATGCTTTTGGGTTCTAGTGCAGACCATCAATGGCAGATGGATGCTCCTAGGTTTGAGGGATTTATCTAGGGAGAATTATACTTAGATCCCCTAAAATTTGTCGTTTAATTATTCAAACTCCTGATATTTAAAATATTAAACACAAATTCTCTCAAGTTTATATGCGCGTAATATTTAAACCCCTCAAGATTAATATATTCGTTAATAAATTACACTTAAATCCCTCTGAAGTTTGTAGTAAGTATATAATACTCAGACCCCTTAAATTTAAAATATTATACTTAAACCAAAAATATTTCAATCAAATATATATATATATATATTTAACTTTTCTTATTTTTATATGTTTTTATGTATATGTGAAAAATGTATAATTTTATTAGGCTTGGATGGGTTAACCAAACATAGGATAGGATTGGTTGGATTGGAATGGATAGAGTCATGGGTAGCATGGTAAACTACTACAAAATTATTTGTGTAATCTATGGGGCCCGCTAAATTATACATTTATTTCCCAAACAAAGGTTAGGATTGGATATAATTTGGGGTTAGGGTTTTAAAGTGGATGAGTGAGTTTGACTTAGATTGGTTAGGATATAAAAAAAGAAAACCTACCCTATCCCACCCCATTACCCAAACACACCCATTGGGTTCACCATCATTTTTGGTTTCTCCAAACATTTGGCGATTATTCCAAGTAATAGTAAGCATCATATGACGTAGCCTAGTGATATTTCATGTTTTACCATTTTCTTTACTGTTTTTTTGTGATTGGTGGTTTGGCATTCTCGTGTTATGCTTACCCTTGAATGTAAGTATCTATGTGCTACTTTCTCTATCTATTATTTTGTTTAACTTGTTCTTTTCTGAACATCTTATAAGATGCTCTCTGTTTTAATCACAAATTTTTGTTGGCTCTTCCAGGTCCTGGGAAATGCAAAAGGAGCTGTTGCTGTGGTGGTCTCAATATTGATATTTAGAAATCCCGTCTCAGTTACTGGGATGCTTGGCTATACCCTTACAGTCATTGGGGTTATCCTCTATAGTGAAGCCAAGAAGCGTAGTAAATGAAAGTTTACTCTGCAAAAGCATCAACTGTAATTTCCATTCTCTTTTGCTTCATTATGTGATGACGGGTGACCTTCCTCAAGCAATTTTGGATCGTTTTCTTGCAGTTGGCGTGTCTTGGATTTTGCCCGCTTAGTTCTATTTTTCACCTGGAAATCTGCAGGCAGGTTTCCGTTTGTACCAGCAAAGCAACCACCAACAGAATAGCCATAGTAGAAAGTTTTAATAAATGACTTGATCCGTCTATCTATTCTTCCCACTTGGGCTTGTGGAGGATCTTTTTTACTTTCTTATTCTTTCAGGAAACGTTGTAGAATTGAGTCTACACAATAGGTCATTGAAGTTCTTCCATTGATTAATTAGTGAAAAACACTGTTTACAAATCTGAGAATGTCACATGCTTGTGCTTTTGCCCTCCCCCCATGATCGAAATCTGGTTGAAATGCAGGTTGGCTATAGCTTAACCAACAAAAACAATTCCCTTTCGTCTTTTTTAATGAACACTTGGTTGAACATATTTTACGCAACATTATATTGCAGTCTTCTTGGGCTCTTGCAAATGTATTATTATATTGGTAAAGGATATTCAAAATTTGCATGTATTTCATTGTGTTTGTTTGTCAGAAAAGATGAATTGAAATCTCATATCAATTGTGACATGAGTTTCGAGTTGATTCATAAGCTCCTTCCCACTCTTTCAAAAGGTAGACCTTTTTAGAGCGGGTACTTAGGCTTGAACTTGTTGGTCTTTTAAAACTCTTACGGCTGCCGTATGATTTTGAGCAAAAATATATTCAAAATTTGTATTTGTGCGACTAGCAAATCTATGATTTCCTTGTCCCAGACTTTGACACAACGTACTATTGGATTGCCATAACTAACCAGGCAAGAGCATCACCATATCTGGCGTTTGGAAATGGGAAAGGCATAGAGAAGAAAAGGCATGTTTTCACAAGTACGACCTCTACAAACTCGTCAATTTGATTCCTACTGCATATTTCCTGTCAATGCATTGCACATAGAAGTCTGCTGTCCACTAGTTTTATAATGCCAAAACATTTAGCACTTCCATGTATACTTTCATCTAGCATACAAAAATTAGAACTCGTCTTCAAGGCCTGGTACTTCCTCACAAATTACCAGCATCAAAAATGACATCCTTGATGGAAGCGATAAAAGTCCTGTTAGTTAAGACTACTCAACATCCATGACTTCAACTTCACCATTGGTCTCCAATTTAGTCTTGCTTTCAACCAGAGGCTTGCCTTCCTTTTCAAGGTCAGTCCCTTCTAGAGGCTTAGACTCCATTTTCACATCGATGATTGCAACCTCACCATTAGCTTCAGTCTCAAGTTTGGCCGCCACTTCAGTCTTGTTTTCAACTAGAGGCTTGCTTGCCTCTTCAAGGTCAATCTCTTGTGGCTGATACTCCACTTTCACTTTAGGCTTAACCTCTGTGTTAGGTTGGCTTGGTGCGTGAGCTGCAGTCTCCTCATCTTCTTCAATTTTGGGAGCCAAATAGAACCTGATGTATCCCATTTCTGCAACTTTGTATTCAACCACCACCGGTAGATCTGATGACATGCTGATTGTCACTTGGTTTGCCAATGGAGTGGCCTTTGTGAAGGAGTTCATGTACCGCAGGGCAAAGGTCAATGAAACTGGTTCCTGCATTTCTATGATGGTGGCTTCTTCTGGCTGCAAAATTTTAAAGCAAAAAGTCAAGACTTACCATTAGTTGCTAGTGAATTTCAGTCTCAGTTGTTTCTGTNTAAGTATCTATGTGCTACTTTCTCTATCTATTATTTTGTTTAACTAGTTCTTTTCTGAACATCTTATAAGATGCTCTCTGTTTTAATCACAAATTTTTGTTGGCTCTTCCAGGTCCTGGGAAATGCAAAAGGAGCTGTTGCTGTGGTGGTCTCAATATTGATATTTAGAAATCCCGTCTCAGTTACTGGGATGCTTGGCTATACCCTTACAGTCATTGGGGTTATCCTCTATAGTGAAGCCAAGAAGCGTAGTAAATGAAAGTTTACTCTGCAAAAGCATCAACTGTAATTTCCATTCTCTTTTGCTTCATTATGTGATGACGGGTGACCTTCCTCAAGCAATTTTGGATCGTTTTCTTGTAGTTGGCGTGTCTTGGATTTTGCCCTCTTAGTTCTATTTTTCACCTGGAAATCTGCAGGCAGGTTTCCGTTTGTACCAGCAAAGCAACCACCAACAGAATAGCCATAGTAGAAAGTTTTGATAAATGACTTGATCCGTCTATCTATTCTTCCCACTTGGGCTTGTGGAGGATCTTTTTTACTTTCTTATTCTTTCAGGAAACGTTGTAGAATTGAGTCTACACAATAGGTCATTGAAGTTCTTCCATTGATTAATTAGTGAAAAACACTGTTTACAATTTTTATGGTAAATGTTTACATTNCTTGATCCGTCTATCTATTCTTCCCACTTGGGCTTGTGGAGGATCTTTTTTACTTTCTTATTCTTTCAGGAAACGTTGTAGAATTGAGTCTACACAATAGGTCATTGAAGTTCTTCCATTGATTAATTAGTGAAAAACACTGTTTACAAATCTGAGAATGTCACATGCTTGTGCTTTTGCCCTCCCCCCATGATCGAAATCTGGTTGAAATGCAGGTTGGCTATAGCTTAACCAACAAAAACAATTCCCCTTCGTCTTTTTTAATGAACACTTGGTTGAACATATTTTACGCAACATTATATTGCAGTCTTCTTGGGCTCTTGCAAATGTATTATTATATTGGTAAAGGATATTCAAAATTTGCATGTATTTCATTGTGTTTGTTTGTCAGAAAAGATGAATTGAAATCTCATATCAATTGTGACATGAGTTTCGNAAATGTATTATTATATTGGTAAAGGATATTCAAAATTTGCATGTATTTCATTGTGTTCGTTTGTCAGAAAAGATGAATTGAAATCTCATATCAATTGTGACATGAGTTTCGAGTTGATTCATAAGCTCCTTCCCACTCTTTCAAAAGGTAGACCTTTTTAGAGCGGGTACTTAGGCTTGAACTTGTTGGTCTTTTAAAACTCTTACGGCTGCCGTATGATTTTGAGCAAAAATATATTCAAAATTTGTATTTGTGCGACTAGCAAATCTATGATTTCCTTGTCCCAGACTTTGACACAACGTACTATTGGATTGCCATAACTAACCAGGCAAGAGCATCACCATATCTGGCGTTTGGAAATGGGAAAGGCATAGAGAAGAAAAGGCATGTTTTTACAAGTACGACCTCTACAAACTCGTCAATTTGATTCCTACTGCATATTTCCTGTCAATGCATTGCACATAGAAGTCTGCTGTCCACTAGTTTTATAATGCCAAAACATTTAGCACTTCCATGTATACTTTCATCTAGCATACAAAAATTAGAACTCGTCTTCAAGGCCTGGTACTTCCTCACAAATTACCAGCATCAAAAATGACATCCTTGATGGAAGCGATAAAAGTCCTGTTAGTTAAGACTACTCAACATCCATGACTTCAACTTCACCATTGGTCTCCAATTTAGTCTTGCTTTCAACCAGAGGCTTGCCTTCCTTTTCAAGGTCAGTCCCTTCTAGAGGCTTAGACTCCATTTTCACATCGATGATTGCAACCTCACCATTAGTTTCAGTCTCAAGTTTGGCCGCCACTTCAGTCTTGTTTTCAACTAGAGGCTTGCTTGCCTCTTCAAGGTCAATCTCTTGTGGCTGATACTCCACTTTCACTTTAGGCTTAACCTCGGTGTTAGGTTGGCTTGGTGCGTGAGCTGCAGTCTCCTCATCTTCTTCAATTTTGGGAGCCAAATAGAACCTGATGTATCCCATTTCTGCAACTTTGTATTCAACCACCACCGGTAGATCTGATGACATGCTGATTGTCACTTGGTTTGCCAATGGAGTGGCCTTTGTGAAGGAGTTCATGTACCGCAGGGCAAAGGTCAATGAAACTGGTTCCTGCATTTCTATGATGGTGGCTTCTTCTGGCTGCAAAATTTTAAAGCAAAAAGTCAAGACTTACCATTAGTTGCTAGTGAATTTCAGTCTCAGTTGTTTCTGTTCTTTACTGTCAGAAGAATTGGACACAAGTAGAAACAAAAGATCCACTGTTAGAAGTAGACAATCAAAAGGTCTGCATTTAAATGTCACGGGACTCAAAGAAGCCAAAGAATTTGACAGAAAGAAACCTTGTCTACTGAGGTATTCTGCCTGCAAACAATATTTGCTGTCCCAATATCACCTCTAGTGGAGAACTTCACACCTTCTTTTGTCACAGATATTACAACTGCAGCAACCCATTAATTGTCACAATTAGCGTTTGACACTTTTGTTTTACATAGAAGAGGTTTCACAATTACCAAACAATGGAAAACAAAGGAAACGAACAATAGGGAAAGTAATGATAAATAGGGGAATATGACTCAGTACCAGTATCGCCAATGGTGCTGAGATCTTTGCAAATCCTTGCAAATTCAGTTGATGGCATCCTTACAATGGCTTCATATTCTGCTTCTGGAATTCCAAGATGCTCGCTATCAATGTCCATGAGCTTCATCTCAAAATCCGCAATCTTATCTTGAGCTTCATTTGAATAATTTGAAGCAAGAGAAGAACAGATTAAACCAGAGACAAAGAAGATAAATCGCAATGGTTGTTTGTAAAATAAAGCAAGGAAAAGCCAACTTGCTAGTTAAAATTTGAACCAAACCATCCATGCAAAGCATTGATCTGCAACATCTTGAAAGGGGTTCTATGTTGCTTTTGTACTCGAATCAGAAGGATCAAAGATAATAATAGAGTTACTCAAACGCAACAGTTGGAATGGCCACTTCGAGCAATAAATGAATTGGAGAATTTAGGAAAGAATACAATACGAGAAAGAGACAATCTTGTAAAAATTTTCAGAGGGGTAGGCAGACTGTCATAGAAATTAAAAACCAATTGACAATTGAAATTAAATAGATCAATTGAACCAGTTTCAAGGCAGATCAAGTGTATGAAATGCTCCTATAAAGAATTGTAATATGTGCTACAAGTGCTTTGAAAACTGAAAAGAAAGCATAAAAAACAAAAAAAAAAACAAAACAAAAAAAACAAAAAGAAAGCAAACAAAAATTCTACTACATACACACATACGCATTTGTAGAGGGAGAGACAACTACAACAACAAAACAGCTTTTTAAACAGTACACACACAGTATATATATATGTGTGTGTGTGTGTATTAATATACTAAAAATTAATATTTAAAAGAAAAAGACAAAAAATAGAAGAACGTAATGGTAATCTTACTAGTGCTATGAGAGCTTCACCACCCCCCTTTTGATCTATTCATCTAACCCTGCATGCATCAACCCTTTTTTTTTTAATCTGTTTTCATCCTCTTCTACTCGAGCTAATGTTTGCCACTAGTCTTCCCCCCAGTGAGTCTAAGCAGAGAAAAGGTTCACTCAGATTCTTAATTGAGCCGGTTTAGCTAGTTACAGTTTCTATACATCCAGGCAATGACCCTAACGAAGTACAATATTTAATTAGAAGAAAAAGAACACAACAAAATTGATCTGAGAATCGCTTTCAAACCCAAAACCAACGAATTAAACAAAATCCGGAAAACCCTAAATCAATTGATCAATCCACAGCAACAAACCAAAACATAAATTTCCCAATAAATACATACAGGTGTGTGTGTGTGTGTGTGTGTGTGCATTTAAAGAAAATCAGAGTTAGGGGTCTGTAGAAGGTGGCGGCGTACTAGGGCTTTCGAACATGAACGTGATGGAATCGCTGCCATCATCGGCCTTGATGGTGATGATATCATCATTTCCAGCGCATTTGAGCATCTTGGCCATGTTTCCGAGGTTCATACCCATGGAGAGGTTGCGGTCACACCGGTAGTGATCGAAGCCCTCCGATCGGAGGAGGAGCGCTACCAGAGCCACGTGGCTGGAGTCCATGGCTTGGAGAGAGAAACCAGTAGCGGAACAGTCGAAGTTGGCATCGTTCACCAAGTCTTTGATCGATTCAAGAACTTTCTTCAGGAGACTCCCCTGTACCAACCTTAGCTCCAACATTTTCTTAATCGTCTTCTTGTTCCCTCGCCTTCAATGTATGTAGTGGTTAGATGTGTGTGAGAGAGAGAGAGAGATGTTGAGGTTGAGNTCTTAATCGTCTTCTTGTTCCCTCGCCTTCAATGTATGTAGTGGTTAGATGTGTGTGTGAGAGAGAGAGAGATGTTGAGGTTGAGGTTGAGGATTGTTGCATAGGGCTTTATGCCATGAAAAACAGAGGTCTGGTTTGGCGGGAAACAGCGCCATTCCCGCCACTAAACGGTTGAGACTTTGGAGACGCTGTCGTTTTGTAAAATGTTGAACGCAAAAATAACAAGGTCAATTGTGCGTCTTCGGCTTTCCTCACGCTAGTGACATATTCCTATGCGGGTCTTAGTAAAAAAGATTAAAAAATATATTCAACAAACTCGAATCTTTTTATCCATTAAGGTCTTAGAAGATTTTACAAAATCTTTATCACTTAGTTTTTGAATTTTGAAGAATTTTGTTAACTGACTTCCATTTATTTCATTTACGTTTTCGATCTTTTTTAATAACAAATAAAAGGACTGACTTTTTAGCTCGATTTGGAAGACACTGTTTTACCATACTAGTAGAGATCTTTTCAATCCCAACCAAGTTGTCTTTCAAAGTCTCGCCGGTGGTGTCTGTAGATCGTGATGTGCCTTGAGATGGTCGTTTTCTATCCCAAATCAGTAAGGAATCTATTCCCAAGTCGTCTCATATATAAATAAGTCATGTCATATATTTTTTTTAATTAATTTTATTTATATCTAATTCACTTATTAATTATGTCGAGTTTAGTCTACTCGTTTATTAACTGTGTAACTAGGGGTGTCCATGGGCCATTGCGAAATTTTTTTCGAGTTGGACTTGCGTAATGTAGGCTCAAATCTTACCTGAGTAAATTATTGGACAGGCGAGGCCGAACTTTGGATAAAAGTAGATTACCCGCAGCCCAACTAGCGAACCTATTGGGCGGATCTGCTAGCGGGTTTTTTTATGTACAATTTCATTTAAAAATAATGAATATTTTTGTAACTTAATATTTATATAAATTATATTTTTAAATAAAAAATAGGGTTAAAATAGATAAAAATAATAATAAATAATTTTATTTTCAATTAGGGGATGAACTACATCCAATAGAATGGATACATCTCAACTAGGTTGACATATACTCACTTATCTATCATTTGCATTACTCTACCCTTTAAAATTTATATGCTTAATACATGAAAAATGAAATAATACATTATCTATAATATCTAAATTTTTAAAACTTCAAATTCTAACATTGGGAGACTTATTTTAAAGTTTCAAATTTAATAGTGTAAAAATATATTTTTTTTTCAAATGAAGGGTGCGCAAGCTTCATGAGGGTTCTTGGGACGAGCTTCGATGTGAGTAATTAGTTTGGAGGCAAACTCAAGCTATTTTTTTAAGAATATTAGGTTTAGACTCAAACCTATTTTTTCAAGCTAAGCACCGGACCCGTGAGTAACCCACGACCTATGGACAGTCCTATATGTAACTTAAAAAATACTCAAATATTTTTTTTCGTATCAAGTTTGTGTTTATTAATCGTATTAACGAGTCATGTTATTTTTTAATATTTTTACACAACTCTTTTACAGTGTCATTTTTTTTTCACTATCAACCGCTATTGTTGTTATTTACGGAATTATGGTTTAATTATAATCACACCTAAATTTAATTAAAAAACATTTCACAATTAGATAAAAATTCTCAATTCTCTAGACATTACCAGGATGGAGGTGTTAAACTCCGGTTTAGGATTTTATAATTTTCATTGAGTCGATATTAACATCTTAATCTACCAAATGTACTTGAATTTAGGATTTTGTAATTTGTATTGAACATGTATTATCATTTTGTATCGAACATGTAAGCATGTGTAATGGGAGGAGTGCTTGAAGCTCTTTTGAACCTCACTACCCAATATGGGAGGAAATATTGAGTGTAACAAATACATCACGCCTACATTACCACGTAAAATAACCCCCTAATAATAACTCAACAGTTAAATAAAATAGACTTCATTTCTTCAAATAATCACCCCTTCTCAAACTAAAGAAATTGGACTTCGGAAGCTTGTTTGATGCCAGAGATAAACTATTCACATAAAGACTAAAATATTCGTGAAGAATAAATCTTTCATAACCTAACTCTAAAAAATTGTCAAAATTCAAAATCAAGACATCTAAATTGAAGTTACAACTCGACCATATAACCACTTGAACTACTTATTGGAGTTATGTCTTTCCATTTTAAACAACCAAAACCATGATTTCAAAAGAAATAAAGATTTTTTTTTTTTTTTAAAAAAAAAGAGGAGAATGAAGTGCATTGTCTGAAGCACTACCAAGCCCCAACGTGAAATTCTTCTTATGTCCCAAAGTAGGCGGTGAGCATACCGCCGGCCGGTTGTCATTAGGCCCATGATCTGCATAGCCACGAAACTGAAAAAGGAAAAACTGAACCTTGTTCACTGTTTGTAGCAGCATATGCGGTTTTGTGAGAGTCTATTATTTCCTTTCCCGTCATCGTCATGGTATACACCCGGTCAGTTTGTCCGTAACCCTATCGACAATCATCTCCATATGATCCTAAGGGTTCACAATATGAGTGCGAGATAGCAAGAAGTGTGTGCATAAAAAGTGTAACATTTGGAATCAGCAATATCAATCTTCATAAACAAAGCTCTATTATATGAGCCATGAGTCCTGCAAAAGGACATTTCTTGTGGAAATTTGAATTCGTAGATTCAATCAAACAAGAAGAAGAAGATGCCAATTGAATGGCACAAATAAGAAGCAAGAAGTAAGCCAGTTTAGTACCATGGATTTCAAAGAGAAATCATAGAGAAACACACTTAAAAAAAGTAAGCCCACTTAGATAATAATTGAGGATATGGAGTTCAAGCATCTGGAACGGCTGCTGTTGATCGCCTGATTGATGCAGACTTGATGAGATGGTTGTAGCTGCCTTTCTCCTTGAAAAGCTGGGAGAAATGATGTTTGCAATATAAGATGCCCTCAAGGGCAGCGTAATTTGACGGAGATATGGCACATCCACCATGAGAGCACTTAAAACAGGATTTGTGATAACTTTGGCTTTCCACCGTCACCTGAAAATTAAAGGCGACCACTACACATGACCACAACTACGAACTACGAACTACTCATATGTCTGAGGAACAGTAATTTGGTCTATATGACAAATAATTATTAACCCATATAGCATTCTATGGGTCTCATTCAATCTCTCTGTCATTGTGCATGATCATCCAATAACATCACAAGGAGGACGTTTCCTAATCACATATTTACTAATATTCAATTTCTTCACAAGCCTTTATTGGAATCTGATTTTTGGCCATCCGTTTTCTATTTTTCATGATTGACCTAGGCGGTCAATCATGAATATATAATACACTGTGTACTGCACTTTGAGTAATAAATCCATCAGCATAAGGGTATAGGCTCCAATTAATTGGCGTTTTGAAAACACTAAGCAAGATTTCAGGGCCAAAAAAGGTTAAAATTTGAATTGTTAAGCAGAACTAAAAAACTGGTAATTCCATATAGAAAAGCATTACTTACCTTCTTTTTTAAGC